TGCATGCCAAGGCTTAAAGCAGCAACAACGCTACACATAAAAACTGATGATGGTGGAAAAATACACCGAAACGTATTTTGATTGATAAATAGAGAGAATAAATGCCTGAAACCCAGGAATTAATTTGATTTGGAATTGAAACACAGTCAGGAAAGTATATACAATTTCTATTATGAATGGCATTATTAACACATTTTTTCGCAAACAAACCGGTATTTAAAACGATATTTTCTATACTGAAATTTTAGTGCTCCACCCTTTAAGCAGTTATTCAAACAACTTAGAAAGCTGTGGTTAACGGGCAAATCAATTTCATATTGTTCTCAATGTGACGTCATCAATGACGAAGTGAACTTTCGAAATCAATTGAATTTTGGGAGTTGTTTGAACATTGACTCATTCTGCACTTCGATATTGAAAACAGTCGTTTAAAACATTATATTTTCAGGTTTTTCCCCCATTTTCCTAACCCCACTTACCAAATTTACCACTGACATTCAGTCAAGGTGTTTTTTGTTATGAAAAGACACTTAGGTCTAACAAAATGTTTTGGCCTGGAATTTTTTCAATTTTCCTTTTTCTCCTTGTTTGTGTTGAATTGGGTAAGTAATCATCGCCACTAATAATATGTGCTTTTGAGCACCCACCGTTTTAAACTGTTAGGATGGGCGTTTGAGTTAAAATTGCAATGTGATGATCCTATTGTTTTGGGGGCCACTGTGCAATGTACTGTTAGTGTTTATGATGAAAGTGGGCAGCCGTTGACTGGTGAAACGTTTAAATATACGTGGAAGGACGATGCTATTCCGCAAAATAACAGAGAAGTAAGTTTGCCCATTTCGGGCTCTCAACTGGGACAACTAACATAGAATATTTTTTTGTAGATACAAAAAGTGTCTACAACGGACGACTGGTCAGTTACATACAACCGGTCGGTGTACACATCTGGTATATATATTATCAGAGTGGTTGTATGCAAAATATATTTATCGTTCATATGTATTTCTTCAAATTCACAAGGGACGTTCATCAATGTCTCAGGTTCGAGTTAAATTGAGTTAGTAACTAGTTAGATAATTCATTAAGTATTTTTATAGACTCGCTTAATGGACAGCTTGTAGTCGCTCAACGAAATGAAACCCGCGCCGGTTTTGTATCTGTAACCGATACCGTCCGGTTTAATACAGTTCTGAAAGCTGCAGACAAGAATTACGTCTCCACAGCACCTACAGTATTGTCTTACTGGTTTCTGGATTGCGTTTACTATGGGATTACAACCGATATGCAATTCGAGTTTAATTTTACGAAAACCGACGAGCATCACATTATTGAGACGCTTATTATGGGAGATTTTTCACCCTTGCCTCCTCCCGTCACTCTTCCACCGTCTACCACTAGTACTCCACCAACCACTACTACGAAAGGATCCACTACAACTGCTGGAACTACCACAACTTCTACGGTAGGTATTTCTGTATTTAATCATATAAGTATTCGTTCTTATTAGGGATGTTTCAGACCACCCTAAAGCCAAAATCTGTGTCTAAACGCGATGTGGCTAGTGGGACTATCGAACTTAACTTCACCACTACAGCTGGCAATAAGACAGAGTCGAATATAAAAATGTGGCAAAATGGAACTTTAGTACCCTACAACGCATTATTCCCTTATGTATGCAATAGCACTGCTGTCGTCACTGATCAAACAAAGGTGCACGGCTTTTTCCAGAGTTCGTTTATTACGAAAGGTACGCTCTTCTGCCCAGTGATATGATCTCATTGTATCTGTTGCGATTTTACAGCTCCCATTTCAAATGTTACTGTATCTGGTAACAACTGGCTACAACATGGTGAGCTTTTGAGCTTAAATATCAAGTGTCAAGGCTCGGAAAAAATCCAGTTTTGCTACTTCTTTAAACCAGGTAAAATGTAAACTGTAGCGTTGTCTTTTAGTGTTCTAACTGTAAAGTTTACAGGATTATATAATGTCACTGGCAACGAAACTTGCGAACATTTCATCGAGTTGGAGACGTGCGAATTTCCCATTCGCAGATACCTCCAGGACAAATACACTGTGATCATTATCATTAAAAATGACGTGAGCAAAAAGATCACACCTGTTGCTGTAACTGTTTATAAGGGTATGTTTAAGAACGTGGACAAGTCTGAGATCTATTTGTTATTCTTCTGCAGTTAAGCAGCAGTCTCAGCTATCAGTGATAGTCGTGCCAGTGGCTTTCAGCCTGGCTGCAGTGGTTTCAATTGTATTTGGAATAGCATATTATCTACAAAATAGGTCCAGGTAATTTTTAGCTCATTGGCGCTCCCTTAAATTGAGTTTAACGATGAATGTTTCGCAGATTTGTAGTAGAAGTTGCCGATTTCGACTTCGGTGCAAAATACGCAGACATGGAATACAAAACGTTCAAGGATCGATTGAAAGACTCAATCGTAAATGCGTTTACTAGGGACCCCATGCCGACCACCTCAGATGCTCCGATATGGCCGCCTAGCCATAAGTACGGCAGTATGACGTAATGGGATTTGCAACAGACATTTATTAAACCTGTGAAATTAGTTTTTAGTGAGATGTAGTTTACTCATATATGAAACTTATAGTATGCATAAGCTGCAAGCGCTTAGAGTCGTCGAAAAGTTGCTTAATGTCTGAATTATGCTCGGGGGTCAAGTAAATTCGGCTATTTGAAGAATTTACGATAAGGTCTTTAAACGCGACGTTCGGTTATGTTTACTGAAGTTTTAGGAGAAATGTATATATTAAAAGCTTATTGGCATAAGAGGCAGGAAATTTGTTGTTACCGTAATTATTTATCAATATAACTACTTTATTTTATTTTATTTTTTATTACTGAGGGAGAAAAAACAATTCATGCTAGAAGGTTCAGATACAAGGGCGGATCCCCATTCAATTCCCTATCCAACGAGGCCAAAACGAATTCTGTGGCTCGAATGGTTCTTGAGAAACTTGGAAAAAAGCAGCGTCATGTTCAAGTGGATTTTGCAACAAAAAAAACCACGCAAATCTAAAACTTCTTGAATTCAAGCATTTTTTGAGAAAACTGCCAACATTTGCTTATCGATGGTTCACTTGCTAAAAAGGCCATTTATTTCTCTCTAGAATGACGTACAAATGAGCGTTCTTGCTCAATTTGCCTCCGAGATATGAGCAAAAACGGGACGAAAAACATGAAATTTTGGCATAATCTTGCACCTAAGTGTCTGATATTCAAATTTCGATCATTTACTGCTAAATGCTGTCCGAGGATGGAAGTTCTATTTGAATCGGAACGCCACAGATGTCATGCGGTGAGATATAGCTGGCGTTTTCGGTTGGAGTTGCTAGTTGAGAAGTGGCGGATAGAGTTCGCTATAAGAGGTTAACGATCAGTCGCACATCAGTGTTAACCATAACCTGCGTGATCTGTGCCATAGATAAAGACGAGTAAAGGAGCCGTTTGAGCTCAAAAAACACACTTGTAAAATTTTGATTTTTGGCCGAAATTTTTACAACGATTTTTTGAAAAAACTTTTTTTTTTTCAAAATGTCTTAAATTTTACGATATTTTCACTTCACGGACGCGAAGAATGTATCGAACTGATTAAAAAATATGCTACAAGGTTCAGATGTAATGTACTCTTACCTTGGTCACCCTGTAGAATGCTCTTGTTTTCCAATATAGCGGGTCTCAATCTGAAAACTTCCCACCCTTAATATCCTGCCAACGATTTAAGTCGCAAAAGTCGTCAACATTTCCTGTATAATCGCTAATTTTCTATTTTAAAGTCACATTTTCGGGTCCTTCAATCCTTCGAAAGGCAATGCCAACAAATAAGACACTTTTTCCGAAACGAACGTGCAAAAACCGGTTAATTTAAAACTTCAATTGCAATAAATACTGCTTTACTGACAACTGATTTCAAAGTTGATGTGTTTGTATTCACTCGTTGCCATGGTGCACGTATTGTATTCAAAGAGTCTACAAGCGATTGGTCGATCAGGTTTATGTGTATCCGGAAACACGTCACCAGGGACGGTTTCTAGGCAACGAAGGTTGTTGATTTCTTTGAAAATGGAAAAGTACTGATTTTGTGCGGAAAATATTCCTTGTGGCAGAAATGAATTCTTGACATAACCCCAATAGCTAAGCAAGTCTTAACTGTCAGTCGACAACTAGTAATTTGACGTTTCGCAGCGCCCCCATAGGTAGTTGAACTCGCGAATAGCAATTATTTGTTGGCAACGCCGACGGGCGTCGCGACGGCTTGCAAGCGTCGGCATCGTTAGTTACCGCCATGACGGACGATAGGCCGCAACGCGTTCCGCGTTCGAAAGGACGCTCAGCGTCGATTTGCGCCACTGGAAGTTCCAGCATGGAAGCGATTCCGCCACCGGCCGACGGCACTCCGACTCAGAGGCGGCGCAGGCCGGCTGTGAGGTCGCAGAGTGCCAGAATGACGAATCGCAGAAGTGTTAGGAATAGAGCCACTCCGCCAGGTGAGCTTTCCGAAATAAATTTGAAAACTCTATATGTATTCGTTATATGTATAGATAGTATATACTTTCCTGACTGTGTTTCAATTCCAAATCAAATTCATTCCTGGGTTTCAGTCATTTATTGTCTCTATTTATCAATCAAAATACGTTTCGGTGTATTTTTCCACCATCATCAGTTTTTATGTGTAGCGTTGTTGCTGCTTTAAGCCTTGGCA